AAAAGACAACATATAGATATATGTGAATTATAAATGATAGTTTAAATTACGTTGTGATCATTATATAAGTGGTAATATAATACAAAAGCAATCTACATTTGTGTTCGGCGGGAAATAAGAATCATTTAAAATTAAAAATCAAGTTGCTTGGCGCTGTTCATGTGAATATGGCTAGCGGCTAGCTTCCAGAGTGTTGCAGAATACATATTATTATTTTCAATTACTAGATAAATTATCTTCTTACCGTTCAGCCATCGCGATACACAGCAATGTTTTATACTTCTCTGGTATTCCATTTGAATTACACACTGTTGTTGCCTTTTCCTCCCTTGTTACCTTACGTCAGTGATCGCAACTGACTTCGACATAATACCTAAGTATGAAAAATTCATAGTTATTAATAAGTAGCGATTGTAAATTAATCACGTGAGACTCAAAAGGAAGGTTGGGTTTCATAAAATGGCAAAATGTCTTCTGAATTATGACGTAGATTTAATGTATAAATTAATTATATTTTTATATTTTTTCTACTAAAAAAACACGATTTTTCAGGTAAAGAGGGAGGAAAACCGCACCTCATATCACCAAAAGTTGCTAAAAATAAGTGATTTTTTTGATTCATGGAATACCACTTACCCATTCATTATAGCTTGACCAGAAACATAAGACCCTCGCCGTACAAGGGAAAAATATGGAACTACCTATTTTGCTACTTTGTACACATTTCAAAGTGATGTAATAAAGAATTCCACTTAAGCCCCCATGCCAGGATTTTTGTGTGAAATAATTTAATTAATTTGTTTTTTTTTTATTCCTTTTCTAAACTCAACGAAAATTTATGTGGAACTATTCTGTTTGCCTTTTTTATATTAATATGGAAATAAAATCAGAATAAAACATTATAATAACAAAGTAATACTCCATGTAATTAAATTTTAACAATACAAAATACAACCAACTTTATTATCAACAAGAAGGGTCAGGTTGGCAACTCTGTTATTTTTAAACCTACAAACGTCAAGGTGGACGATTATAAAGTTCATAATGGGTTATCAGTATTGATTATTTTCGTTCATGTTAATACAAAACATTTCTATATTAAACAGAGTTTCGAATACATACAGCTCGATTTTATGTTAAAAATGAATGGCAAATTACTTAAACAGTGTTACAGTACAGCGATTTCAAAATTTTGTCCAACTTCGGGGACACTGGTAGAAAGCTCTATAAATTCAGCTCAGAGGAATATAAACTTTAAGGTACGTTTACTCCTTAATTTAACCAATTAGGGACAAAAAGTTTTTGGTTTTTGTGTTGTTACACGAATTCAAACACATGTCATTAAGAGGTTAACTTAAGTAACTTATAATAGAAGTAAGTAATATCACGTACGATGTGCTAATAACATAATTATTACTGAGAATCTTTAGTGTATATTACGCATGTAGTGACGATATAGAACTGATGTTATCGAATTGTCGAAACAAATAAGAATCAACATTTGTTTGTGATTGCGTTATAAAGATAACACTGTGAGGTCAATTCGACCGCGATCTTTGTATTAAAAGACCTTAACCATTATTTGCATCGTAGTCAAAACGCGCTCGCCAGTTGAATACAGTTAATACTTTAAGTAACATTTACGGTAAATTTCAGACTTTTATATCAAAGAAGTTTATACATAAATCAGCAATTATGAACAGTCTTCTGAATGGTAATTTGTGGGACACGGATCCAGAGTTGTTCGAAATAATAAAGAAAGAAAAGCAGCGTCAACGACATGGCTTGGAGATGATCGCTTCGGAAAATTTTACATCAGTACCAGTACTACAATGCCTCAGTTCATGTCTTCACAATAAGTATTCAGAAGGAATGCCACATCAAAGGTAAGAACACTGTATTGATCAATTTTTTAAATTTAATTGTGAAACATTAAACAAGATTACTTTTTGAAAGATGTATAAAACTATCTCACAATCTAATTTAAATAAAAAAATGAATTTCTAACTATTAGCTGAGACATAAAACTATTGCAAAATCTTCGTAACAATTATAGTTACTATATAAATAATTATTGTTAATTTTTCAATCATGATCAATTGACAAATTAATCACAATTAATATAATTTGTTAGATATGATTTAATAATTTTCTTATTTTACAGATACTATGGAGGAAATGAATACATAGATGAAATAGAAATATTAGCACAAAAACGTTCCCTTGAAGCATTTAGACTGAGCGGTGAGCAGTGGGGTGTTAATGTTCAGCCATACTCAGGTACATGTTACTAATACTTACAACATATTTCAACTTGTGGAAGCCGATGGTTTCATTGAATTAATCAATGCCAAGTTATAGTAAACTATCATAAACGAAGGAAAAAAAGAAATGTTATTTCTTGCATAACAGTTTAATTTGTTTCTTAGTTTTTACTTGCTTATGATTGTCTGAGACGGAAAAGTTTTAGTACAGACTCAATCAAATATATTGGTGACTAAAATTCATATGGGCAGTGGCCGCCACATCACACCTAAAATTGTTTTCTTTGTAGCAAATCATACAATGTTCCAAGCCAATAAAATATTTGGAAACCTATACTATAAATATGTTTTAGGTTCTCCTGCTAACTTTGCTGTTTATACTGGTGTTGTGGAACCGCATGGAAGGATTATGGGTTTAGATCTACCAGATGGTGGTCATCTGACTCATGGCTTCTTCACTGCTACTAAGAAAATCTCTGCCACCTCTATCTTCTTTGAAAGCATGCCTTACAAGGTAATTATCAAATATCTTTATTTAACAAACATATAACATAACTAAACAATATGTCATTTTATCTGATACCTAGCATACATATTGTTAACTATATTTAACAGTGATACTCAAATTTATTGGTATTGTTAATTTTAACTTTTTAATATCATCTAGGTGGATCCTAAAACTGGCTTAATAGATTACGACAAGTTGGCGGAAACTGCAAAGTTATTCAAGCCTCGTTTAATAATAGCTGGTATAAGTTGCTACTCACGTTGTTTGGATTACAAACGGTTCAGACAAATTGCTGATGAAAATGGCGCGTATTTGATGGCTGATATGGCTCATGTATCTGGACTTGTCGCTGCAGGTAAACAAAGGATCGTTTTTATCTTAACAGTATTCAACTTATAAACAAATTATGCTGGTCTGTATGACCACCTTTGTTATAAAATTATTGGCTTATATTATCAAATATTGTATAATTTTTAGGTGTCATACCAAGTCCTTTCGAATATTGTGACATAGTTACAACAACAACGCATAAAACATTACGAGGACCAAGAGCTGGTGTGATATTCTTCCGCAAAGGTGTCCGCTCGGTGAATGCAAATGGCACTAAAGTCATGTATGATTTTGAGAACAAGATAAACCAGGCTGTATTCCCCGGCCTGCAGGGTGGACCTCATAACCACGCTATCGCAGCTATCGCAACAACTATGAAACAATCAATATCACCAGAGTTTATTGAATATCAAAAACAAGTGAGTTAACACAGAATATTTCTTCACAGTATTTTATTACGAACTATTTTTTAAATAATGTATATGTAATGGCTTTTTATAGGTAACCAGTTTGTAGTACATAACTATCTTTTCTTCAACAAACAAATGATGATAATTTCAGTAATAAAATTAATCAAATTTTATTTTACCTTATACAATATTACAGGGATATGAAATTATTCAATTATAGCTATATTTTGCTTCTACAGGTAGTCAAGAATGCTAAGCGTTTATGTGAAGGTCTGATGTCACGTGGTTATGACATCGCAACCGGCGGTACTGATGTACATCTGGTGCTAGTTGACATGCGGAACGCGGGACTAAGTGGTGCGCGAGCTGAACGCATCCTGGAGTTGTGCAGCATCGCCTGCAACAAGAACACTGTGCCCGGTGACAAGAGTGCACTTAACCCCAGTGGCATACGACTTGGTAAACCATAGTGCACATTTTGTTATATAGAATGGTCATAAACATTACATGATAAAACAAAAATTACACTGGTTTAATGAGGAATTTATAACAATGAACACATTTTACAGGTACTCCTGCTTTGACCACTCGTGGCCTTAAAGAAGCGGACATTGATAGAGTAGTTGATTTTATCGACAAGGCTCTTAAACTTGGGCAAGAGATCACGAAAATATCAGGTCCGAAAATAGTTGATTTCAACAAAACCATTGAAGAAAATGCTGATATCAATAAAAAGGTAGCTGACCTTAGAGCTGAGGTGGAAAAATACAGTGCCACATTCCAATTGCCTGGCTATGAAACCTATTAATAGGATAGAAAAACTTCTATATAGATATTTTTAATTGTTCCTAAATAATTCGAATATATGTTTAAGATGTTACAGTTATTAAGAGTATGTAGCACTTTTTTGGTTTGCTATTAAAAAGAAACTTTTACAAAAAATGTATATTGTTTAAGACAAAAATTTTATTGTGCCTTTATGCAGTAAATTATAAGAATAAATATTTTTTCATATTCTTGTGTTATTTTTTTATTAAATATTTTGATCAATTAGTGCAAACAATCTTGCAAAGGCAAGATAGGTAATGAGGGTTTGGAGGCTTGAATCCATTACACAAACTTATCTTAACAGCTAACTTTTGTGCAGTATAAGAAAAATTAAGCCTAATGATAGAAAAACTCAGAGAGTCAAATATAGTAGGGTAGTTTTGTAAAAGCACATAATAAATAGAGAAAAAGTGCACTTGGACTACATTTCGCTTCTCAGTTCGTTGCGTAGTCTGGTTTGATAAAGAATTTTTATTCAATTCATTAACTTAAAATCTATTCTCTCTACTTATAAAATATACTAATATTTTGTTTTTGTTCGAAACAAATAAAATGGGAACGTCATTTAAACTATGCCAACTACTACTACAGATTATAAAGGAGGTGTCTTTGAAACTTTCAATTATAAAATGACTTGTTGTTTATTTTATCTGTGTCAATCTAAATTTCGTCGTTCACCAAATTTTGCCTATTTATGTGTGATGTGAAATGTTTTGTGTCGCATAAATGTAAACTAATTTTGTTAGTGATGTAGTTTACATTTCATGTCAATTAACTCTTCCTGTGTAATTAGAACAAACGAATTGGACAGTGCAATAATAAATGTCGACCTTTTGAACTGTGTATGTATATTTTGCGTACAGACTGAAAGTGTTGTGTTTAAAAGTATATTAGTTAGAAATCGTAAAAAGGCGTTGGAACTGATAATAATTGCATGATCTTGTTTCGTACATGGGACGTGCAATCGATTAATTTTGGACGGTATTATGTATACGATTGCGTGTGGTAAAGACCACCTGGAGATCAGGAGAGATTATTTGGAACTATGTTTACGACGACAGGAATGGTAGCAGCACCACAGCAAGCGACTAACCAGGTCGTGCAAAATGGCAGTACCACATTACCTCGATCTCATCATCAAAGAACAGGTATTGTTTATTTTTCAACTATATAATGTTCCAGTTTACTAGCACTCGTAAATTACTGGAGCGAATCTGTTTTAATTCGTTTAACAACGTTTTTATCTTTAGTAATAGATCAAAAATACAAAATTATTATTAATTATAACTTGATTAGATATTATTTGTCAATTTTAATTGGCATAATGTGTTTTAGTTAGTATAAATGGAAACTCTGGTTATAGGCAGGCCACCGGCAGCTCCTAAATCATATGACTATCTCCTGAAGGTGCTACTTGTGGGAGACTCTGATGTGGGTAAACAGGAAATTCTCCAAGACTTAGAGGATGGATCTGCAGATTCACCTTTCTGCAGTGGAAGTGGTAATTTCATTTAATTGTAATGTACAGTTTTACTGCAATAATAATTATTCAAGTAACAAAATGAAAATGTCTAATATGTATAAAATTATATTAACTATTCACACAAATGACGTTACATATGATGTTAAATAACCTTTTTTATACTCAAATTAATTAGAAAATGTAAAATCAGTAATAAAATTTTTTGCAATGAGACAATTATAAATATTTGATTTACTTTTACAGCTTACAAAACAACAACAATCTTATTGGACGGTAAAAGAGTGAAGCTTCAGCTATGGGACACCTCAGGCCAGGGACGTTTTTGTACAATTATACGCTCATACTCTCGTGGTGCTCAAGGTATCCTTCTGGTCTATGATATAACTAACAAATGGTCTTTTGATAGTATAGACAGGTGGCTAGAAGAAGTAGAAAAGGTAAGCTAAAGTTATAGAATTTTCCTATTATATGATTTAAACAATTCTAGTGGAACAGCTTATTTATAAACTAGCTGTCACCCGCAACTCCGTCCACGCAGAATTAAAAAAAAACTTAATTTATAGCTTATGTTCTTCGAGACTATGTTCAACATTTGTGCCAAATTTCATCAAGATTTGTAGAATTGTTGAAGAATTGAACTGTTGCATTGATACCTTGTAAGAAACATCTATCCATCCATCTAAACTTTCACATTTACAATATTAGTAAGATTTAAAAACTCTTATTCCAGCATGCACCTGGTGTACCTAAAGTGTTAGTTGGTAACCGATTGCACCTCGCATTCAAACGTCAAGTACAAGAGCGAGATGCGGAACAGTATGCAGCCAAGAACCACATGGCTTTCTTTGAAGTCAGCCCACTCTGTGACTTTAATATTCGGGAGAGCTTCTGTGAACTCTCCCGCATGGCTCTACACAGGAATGGCATGGAAAGGCTCTGGAGAAGTAATAAAGGTATATACATATTTTTTTTATTCTTTAGAAAATGGCAATCCATAATCTCTAGCCTTATGGGTGAAGATTGATAATTAATTGCTACATACTGATAGTGTGACTAAACCATAATTTTCCTTTTCAATAGTTGATTTTAGGAATGTGTTGACGTAATCTTTTGTCTAATATTATCAAGATATCTTTTATTACGTATTTTTCTTGGATTTTATATTACTAAGACACAATATCTTAAAAACACGTCACCCAGTAATGTATCATATAAATTCCGATCTGATTATAATTACTTCCGTATTTAATGAGTGAGTGAATGAATTCTTTATTTTCAGTTCTCAGTCTTCAAGAGTTGTGTTGTCGTGCGATTGTTGCGCGTACTTCCGTGTATGGGCTGGAGCGATTGCCATTGCCGACCACTTTAAAGTCACATTTAAAGTCATACGCGATATCGGCCGCCCCCAGTAGACATCGAGCCCGGCCACCGAAGCACCCTCACAACACCCGACTCAACTGCACAGGTCGGAATTCTTGCACTATTTCATGAACTACCAAACTCGCGTAGCATTAGATTAAGCCTTTTCCTTAAAAATGCACTGATGGAATGGATTTAGTCATGTCCTGTCTACATTAATTCCTTTTTTACTGACTGTAAATGCCATTTGGATTTTGGATAGAATGAAATGCTATTTTTCTAGTCTATTTTATAGATATAAAAGTTTTGTTCATTGAACAAAGAAAGAAATGATTATGTTTGAATGCATCATTTGCACTATACTTTTTTAATTTTGTCACATAATATTTAAACTCAAAATAGTCTTGCTCTATGGTTATTTAAAATGGTAAAATCAATATGGTAATTGAAGCATTCAAATGTAATAAAATCACATACAAAATGTTACAACGAAACTTTTTAAAATTTTTGCACAGTCTGATGGTCTTTGAAAAAAATTTATGTGAAATTAAATATGAGCAAACATTTAAATATATAAATGTTTAACTACACAATTGAATTTTCTATGCAACTTATATAAGATTTATTCCTCAGTTGTATACTAAGAAAAGGGAGGTATTTGAATTTATGATACATTTTGATGTTCTATGACTTTTCTGACAGTTATTAATGTATTAAACATGCAATCACTTTATAAAAAAATATTTTTAATAGTTGAAAAATGAAATCAAATATTATAACAATCAAAATTTATTACACATATTATTAGAGATTTCAAGCTAAAAATTTGACTAGAAAAAGTGATATAACCAAAAATTATACCAAGATTATACTGACATTTTCAATTTATTAATAGATTTTAAAAGTAGTTTTTTTTATTTCTGCAATTCGGAAAAATCAAGAAATCTTATAAAAAATGATTGAATTATTAATGTCCAACTATTATATACACTAACAAATAACAGGCTGTAAACGACAACGGTTTTGTGATTAGTATTATAAGGTATTAGAGTAAGGTATTGTTACTTAACAACAAAAATACATTGTGAATATAAGTGTTATGTAATTATAACATTATGTGAATATTGTCTAGTATCCCGATTGTCCATTTATTCAAATCAACTTATGTATTCTATATACTATTGTAATTATCATTATGTGCCTAGTTATAAATACATTAGCATTAGTTGTTATGTGGTGATATTAAAGAGTACATCAAGTGTTTAAGAAATGTGAGCGAGTTAAATTCAAACTCAATAGATGGTTGAAAATTGATTTTAAAATACAACAAAATTAAGAATGGAAGCCATACAAAGGATGTATTGACTTGATAAAAACAAAAAAAAACTATTTTTTTTTTAATTTTCAAGGTACAGCTGTATTATAGATTACAAATATAAATGTTTACAAATTGATTAAAAGCCATTTAATAATTTTTCTTATCTAATTACATCTTAGTTTAGACCACATTTGAGACCCTTGATTTATATTTCATGCATACGTCGCCCTACGGTCAGTATAAGTATATTGTTCCCAGCATATTAGGTGCTATACGTGTGCAATAACATGAGACGCGAGCACCCCACACATCCTTGCGTTACATATTTGACCACATAGCGTTTAGTACACTCTCATACGTTAGTCTCATAAAATATTCACCAACTGATTCCTTTTTACGTCATCGGATTCAGGTCTCACGTTATAGTGCTTGAGTATTGCTATATTTAATAATTTTGTACCTTGTATAATTTATTAATAGCTAAATCTAGTTATTTTTACGTGTGAATATAAAATACGAATTATCTAATGAATTTTTTTTTTATATTTTGTATAACTCATGAAATTTTAGATGTATGTACTAACTTGAACACCATTTATTCTAACATTGTATTAAAAAGTTATTCATGTATGTTTCATTGATCATGTGATAAATTTAAGATAAAAAAAATTACTTTTTTTATATCGTGTATACTTGTCCACTAACATTTATTAAAAACCAAAATGTAGATAAGCCAAGGAGTTTGCCATTTGTCTAAATTAAAAAAAAAACTTGATACATAATATGTGTGACACCCCTGAAGTGTTTACTTGAACGAGTTTTAAAGTCACGAATATAATAATTATGCTACTTAGTCCATTAAAATAGTAGAAAGTTGTTTGTGAGTACGTTTCGTCTAAATTTTATTCCAATTTCATTCATGTAACTTTAATCAAACAAATGCAACTCCAAAAAAAATCTAACCTCGTATTAGGGTATATCGGCTATTTTCGTAGTAATTATTTATATTATACATTTGCATATTTTTTAGAAATAAGTCTGTATAATATTGTAATCTTAATACCGTTCGCATGTTTAGATCACGGTTGTGTATATAAATGTGGATTTTGATGACAGTGACATTTGTATTGGCATATACTGTCATCTTTGACATTCTCTTTGACAAAACATCTTACTAATATTGTAAATGCGAATGTTTCGACGTATGGATAGATGTTTGGTAGAAGGTATGTCCAGAACTGTTGCATATGTCTGGCTGAAATTTTGGCGTTAGTTGTAGAACATAGTCTGGTAGAAGACATAGGCTATTAATTTTTTTTAATTTCCCGCCGACGGAGTCGCAGGTGACAGCTAGTAGATATGTGTCAATACAAGGGTCAAGGTAGTCAAAAACACAGTAAAGCTCTCTACACATCTATAGTTTTAACGGCACAGTTCAAGTGTTTAGTTAAAACTGAATGTGTGTAGCGGGCTTAATGTGTAACTATCATATGACAATACATTGATTTTGCATTTATCGTACGCTCGTACTAACTGGAATTTAATTTAGCACCTACTTCTTGGAAATAGTTTTCACTTTGCTTTTAATAAATTACAAACCAATTCTTTTGTACAATATTCAATAAAAGAGCCCATAAAATGATGCTAATTTATTTCACACAAATTGCGATAGTTTTTTTTTGCTACGATATATATTAAGGCAATAAATATTTTTGTTACTTTCTTCTCGTCGTTTTTATAACGGGCCTCTAAATTTAAATACACTTAATTAAGATGTCAATCTAACAAATCGATTCAGACTTGTACGTATGTATAAAGACAACTTTGTAACAGCATCAAAACAAATTTAGTTCAATCCGTCCCTAGAACGTAAACTAATTCATAGCGATCGGCATAAAACTGCCTTTGACTACATGAGGATTTGTCACATATATCGTATTTTCTTTAACTAACAATGTAATCGATGACTTAAATAATTACGAACAAAATCTGATTCTTTATATGTTCAATCAATTTAATAATTTGTAGATTATTCAATAGCACCCTTTTACAAAACAAAATTATTCTCAAATTTATAATGACACTTATTATCAATGCCGATATGTTTAGAAAATTAAGTCATGTCCTTTATCAAGTAGACTTCTCTAGGCAAATGGTCTTGGGTTTAAATGTTCGCAAATTAAGGAATACTAAGTCCCATACATGATGTAATTTACTTTCTCGTCATCATATTCAATCGATCACGTCTACTTGATATAAGTTATTCTAAATTCATACATAGTTAAACAAGTTATGAACTGCTAGATGTAAATCGCTTTTTTATTTCTCATGTAAGTGTCTAATGTATTCATTTTTAATTTCTTCAACGGTATGATTTTCGAAATCAACGTTTTAAGCAAAATTCGTGTACATATTATTTTTTTATTTGTGATAGATTTTAGTTCAATATAATATAATCCAAATATACTAACGCCAACTAAAAGTTTGGTACATAAAGTCATAATGTTATCACTACTATTGTAAGTTGTGAATTAAAACTAATTTATAATAATTAAATGTGTTTGGAATTTTACATCATGCCTTTTCTGTCAACCGCTTGACAAAGATTTCTAATACCTTCCATAGTAAATGCGCTCCCGAGCAACGTATAACATGACCTTTACATTCCAAAAAAAGCCTCGAAATGAGAACACACATGTCTCATTAAAGAGAAAATAATATTAGGCTATGTTTTTTTATTGACTAAATAGTGACCGTGGTGATTGCAGATCGTGCCATGCTTTTTGAGGATAAAGGAGAGAATGTACAGGAAAGGGAATTAACCTTTATTTTATATGATAGCATGACAATATTGCCAGCGAAAATAGCTAATTTACACCGTCTGCAGTCAGCATGCGGTTAACGCACAATGTTTGCTACCTTTATAAGAGTTTTTTAACATATTTGTTTAAAAGTTTTTGTACCTCCTACGCAGTAGTTGATCAATAAAATCAATTGACAACAATCCGCGTTGTGCCTGTGCCTTTATGTCAAAAGAATATCAAATATTAAAAACATGCGCACCAGGAGATTAGAAAAATCGATGAAATAAAACATGCGCAATGTCGAATACTTCGACCTTACCGTACGCTTTGAAGCGCCTGGATGTTTTTATATCATTCAACTATGCTCTAAATTACTCCGTCATATAAAAATAACAAAAATGTTCGGTAACCCAAAGGAATGTAAATTTTTAAATAAAATGATAAGACGTGTGAACAATTTTGTGTTCTTTTTCAATTTACGTCAAGGCACAATTCTTATAGCCGTCCATCAAATTGTAAGTATATACGAGAAACGCAATGCGTATTTTTTTTCTTAAAGATAAATAAAATAAAATAGCTATTTTATATTTTCAGGCGCTGTCTTCATTTTTTTTGATAATACTGTTGGTTGGTATTTCCCATGCTGGCGAAATGCTTACATTACTTCACAATGACATGGAAGACGATGCTGAGAGGCGAGGGTTTTATGAAGTAGCTTATGGCAACCAGTTAAGATTTCACGAAGGCGATGTTATTAGTACTAATAATCAACGAAGATTTGCTAAAGCCCAAGATCTAGCATCCGGTAAGATTACAATGTAAACACGTATAAATTTTATTTAGTCGTGCCATTTCTAAATGATTCTATAAGTAAATAAAATCAGCTACTTATAAGACTGCTATATGAAACTTCTGGTACAGTTAAAGTCTTGTTATTCATTGGTATTTATTAGTCTTGCGATAATATTTTGTTAACAATTAGGTAATGAAATACCACAAATATTTTTGTATTCCGTCCAATAATGTCTTGAGAAAAAAATAAGGTTATTAAATGTTAATACTTTTCTTACAGTAACGGTGAAAATCCTCTACACCAGCACTATTATGACTTCGATATATTTGCTGTGTTCCATTATGCTGCTCCACGGGGCCGTCAACTACAAGAAAGAGTACATATTACCCTGGACTTTAGTAGCGTTAATTAATCTGTTACTATTGATATTTGCCATCAGTATCGGAGAGGGGCATCCGTCCGTCATCGATCTTTTCAATGGTCACACGATGTACCGTAAGTATTGTGTTATATATCAAATAATATTTTGTGACATGTAGATTCAAGCAAGATATTTCTATTACAGTTGAGCTATTACCTGTTAGCAATTATGTTAAGGTTTAATATCTGCCTCTAGAACCGTAACAACTTGATTTCCTCAATTATTGTCACAAAGAAAGCACCAGGTCCCTTTACGTCGCCATCATCAATAAGTGAAAAGGGCCTACCGCGATCATTTAGTACTATAGTATAATTCTAATTGATTTCAGACTTCACGAGTTCGCTATTGCTGGCATCATTCATGTACGCAATAGCTACTGTGATCAGTTTCTCCTATGAAATATCGTCGATGCAATGCGCGCAGCAGTTCGCCGACGAGCGCGGCGAGCGGCTCCTGCTGCTCGACCACGCCGCGCACTCCAGTCTGCTCTCCGCCGCACAACTCAACAAGCTCTCAAACGGCACGCGCACGCACTTCGTATAAAACCACACCACGGATATATCAACCGATTCTGCGAAGCGTTAGTCTCTTCAAAGATATAACTCTTTCTATAGAATGAGCTGATGTAACGTCCCTAACAAGTTCAGTGCCATCGGCTCGCCAGGCGAGTTCCCAACGAAATAATTCGTAATGACACTGAACTTGTCCAAATGTATAAAATATTTTAAAGCTATGAGCACATCTGGTGCATCAATGTCGTAGAAAAATATTTTCATAAATCCTTCAGTTGATGCAGCAATTGCATTTACATTGTGAAAATGTTACAACTTTTTCTATAATGTGACGCACTTTTTAATGTTTTATAGTTTTAGCGTTTAGTTATATGTGACAGACAGTATATAATTAGCTGTATATATGTAATTATTTATGGCAATGTATATATATATATATGCCCAAAGACTTCTAATAAAAATAAAATCTTAGATAATCCAACCGCAACAGTTTAAACAAAAGCAGTAGGCAGAGAGGGATGACTATGTCCTAGAGACAATTCTCTCTTTTTACATTTACACGCACATGAGTTTAGTCTACTACTATCAATGGCCTTCTATAATTTATAGATCTGATTAATATTTTTCTGCTTAACGCATTTATCTACGATGGTACTACACTTTTGCAGTTTTTAATTTTTGTCATCTTCTACGCGACTTCATATTTTTAAAAAATCGAAGAGTGCAAACGCTTCAAATGCTGATATGCTTTTAAGGATCTTTACTTTAAATATTTATCTTTGTTTTATTTCTTCATGAAGGCAATACATATGGTTGTGTCGTGCACAAGACATTCGCAAAATAAAAATTATATGTAGTTTTGCGTCGTAGATTAGTTTATTTTAATCAAAGCAACTAAGCTAAAAGCTTACTTTACAACTGGCCACATATAGAACAGGAGACATATATTTTTATTAATTTTAAAAAGATTATTTATAACTACTTACGTCCAAATTTTACAAAATTAATGCTTATATTTATTGGCATTTTACAACAAAAACTTGTGATATTTTTTAATCTATAAATCAGGAGTCTTGCATTGGTTAATAATTTAAAGCTTATCTGGTAATTTAAAAAAAATGTATATAAAAATATGCTATGGCATGCATAAATTAACAATAATAATTTTATTAAAGTTATATTTGCATGTCTATGGTATACTATGTAGCTGGTAACTGAGAAATATATATGCTTCATATATTAGAATGAAATAAATATATTCAAATTATTAAAATATCGTCTTTTATTTGATAAGTACATTCTATATACAAATGGCATTTGTTAGAATAAAATTACACAATGAATGAATATTAAACAAAACCTAAACTAACTTTTAATAAAAAATGAGCAAGATTAATGGAAGACATCAACCCTAGTACTACAAGACTAGTAACATTTTATTATGACTTTAAACTAATAGCTAACAATGTCACTTAATAGAAGTTTATAATTAAACCAAAAGTAACATTTCTCATGTACTAATATAAATCAATGTTTTGACTTTTTGTCCGATTCATTTTTAATTATGACTGATGAGTTTGTACATTATAAAATATGTAAAACAGAAAATAATTGAAAATAAATTTGATCTTATTTAGCATCAAAATGCTAATATATAATAATTCTATATTATTTAATATTCAGACAAAATAATACATATTTAAATGATCATAGTATGTAATTTTCATCATGCTGATTATTATTCTCTTTTCCATAAAAGGCTTGCATTGTTGATCATTGTTTTGTATAAGTCAGATTAATGAGTTTTTTAACCCCAGCGCCCATTTTGCAATGGCCTCTGAATACCCTTAAATCCTCTTGCAAGTATAAACTTTTCGGAGGAATCAGATCTACTTGCTCTTGGCTTCAATATCTTTGTACTTTTATAAAATCTTTCCAAATCCATTTCTAATATTGGTACTTCCTTTCCATCCCAAACTTTAAATAATAAATTGCCATCAACTTTAGTGACTAGAGCGGCAAATCTAATTGCCATGTAACAGAGTCCTATAATTCTATCCTTGTCTAATTCTCTAATGCCAGTCGCACTTGGGGCCATATCAGATAAAACTAAATCAACCTTCTTGCCATTAAGTGTTTCCACAACCTTATCATGTGCTGCTATTGTTGAGAAATCCATATTACTCATAATTGTAGCACCCTGCAAATATAAATTGTATATTATACAATATGAACAATAGTTGAATAAAGCTGTATGCATTGTTATACTGACCAGTGATTGTTACCTTGAGTATGGAAATAAGACTTAGCTTATTTGTACATATACATACTTCTTTACAACATAAGATACTTAATTGAATGATTATGATAAAACACTTTAAACTCCAACTGTATATCAATTAAATAGATAACTATTTGTTACACATATACACACCTGTATAGGAAATATTTGAAGTTTGTCAATTGACAGTACAGTTCCCTTTGGTTTATTTTTATCAGCTCCATCGGAATTTGTTTTCTGAACTGCAACTTGTGTCCATGATCCAGGAGAAGCACCTAGATCAATAACAGTTAATCCAGGTGTGAGAATATTCGTTTTCTCATTCATTTCCAAAAGTTTAAAAGCACTCCGACACCTAAAAATTATTCTTTATGTAGTGCATATTTAAAAACGTTCCCCCAGGAATTTAATATTAATAAATATTCACCTGTAATTATATATTTTGGCCTTTTCAACGTAGGGATCTGCTTTTTGTCGACTTAACCATTGTTGTGAACTTTTAAATCGTTTAAGACAATTAACTAAAAAACACATTTTGACTATCTTCAAATCATTAGATGACAACAAATGCGTAGTTATCATCCTAACATTTGGTATATATGTGTATTAATGTAATCAACACAATTGCTTTTGTAATAAACACAATAACCACACATATCAAAGTAGGAAACATAACAAACCAAAGAATATGGAAAAATAGACAAGAAACTTCGTAAATGTAGACATTATTAAATCAAAGACGTGTGCTCTTTGAACACTCTGACAGTTGCTGTTAAAATGACCTAAAGGTCTATGTTACCAGGTCAAAATAAAAAAATGCTATAAAAAATGTCAATGGTGTCAAAATGTCAAATGTCTGTTTTGTTTTGCCATAGTTTTGCCTAATTTAGAATTTTGGCGGCATTATTTTTTAGCCCGTTCTTAATCATTTACTCGCTATATTATTACAACATTCAATTTTAACTAAGATGTACTAATAGTAAGAATATGTATTTTATGTGTCGGTTTTCTGTTAGTCTTATAAGAAAAAATCATTTCGTTGTAACTTCGAGTTATGGTTCAATTTTCGTTCAAAGGAGCAAATCGCAAACGATGAAGTACCTAAATGTCGCGGAAAAAAATGACGCCGCTAAGAATATTGCGCTTCATTTATCAAGAGGAACATCAAAAAGAGTACTGAACATTTAATATATTTTTAAGATCTAGGAAAGGTTATCGGCTTGCCCTAATCATTTTTATATTTTAGCGAGAAGGACTATCCCAGTACAATAAAATCTATGAGTTTGAAGCAGAAGTTATGGGTCAAAAATGCCAAATGGTAATGACTTCAGTATCCGGTCATCTCCTTGCATTAGAATTTGCAAGTTCATATAAAAGTTGGCAATCGTGTAACCCTCTAACCCTTTTTGACGCGCCAGTTATAAAGTACTGTCCTGAAAACTACGAAAAAATTAAGGTAGGGTTTACAAATTAATAAATACTTATAAAGTTCTTTTGCAGACAGTTTGAATTTAAAGAAAATACTATTTTTTTATAGAAAACTCTAGAAAAAGAAGTAAGAAATTGTCAAGGCCTTATAATCTGGACAGATTGTGACAGAGAAGGGGAGAATATAGGCTTCGAGATTATAGAGGTGTGTAGCGCAGTTAAGAGCAACCTGAGAATATACCGTGCAAAGTTCTCCGAGATTACATCTGTGTCTGTTCAACGCGCATTACAGAACTTAGAGCAACCCAACAGGAATATCAGTAATGCAGTTGATGTGAGGCAAGAACTTGATTTAAGGATAGGTAAATTAAGTAAATGTATCATATCTTGTTTATATTTTTTATTCAGTTACATTATAAACATGTCTAAAATTAAAAAAGATGTTATAATAGCTGTCACTAAAAAAAACTTAATTAGTAGCCTATGTGTGCTTCCATACTATATCCTATGTCTATGCCAAAATTAACGAGATCCTTGCAGCCGTTCTGGACATGCCTTCTAGCAAATATTCATCCATCAATCCAAACATTTGCATTTTGGAAGATAATAAACATATTATTGTAAATTAAATGTTTTTATATTAATGTTTCCTTTCTTATAGGAGCTGCATTTACAAGATTTCAAACCTTACGGTTACAAAAAGTTTTTCCATCAAAATTAGCAGACAGCCTTATTAGCTATGGATCTTGTCAGTTTCCAACACTTGGATTTGTTGTGGAAAGGTACAGGGCAGTTAATAACTTTGTTGCTGAAACATTTTGGAAAATAAAAGGTAAAAAATGAAGTAAAATTATGTCCTTATATATGTACAAATTTTATTGTAGATAATTAAGAAAATCATAGTTTTGTTTTTTTGTTTTTTCCAGTGAATCACACAATGAACAATTTAAGTGTTGATTTTGCATGGGACAGAATACGACTGTTTGACCAAGAAGCTTGCCAAATCCTGCATGATGTTTGTACAGAAAACCCACTCGCAAAGGTTGTAAATGTGAGAACAAAGCCTAAATCTAAATGGAGACCATTGCCATTAGATACAGTGGTACGTTTTATATATATTTACCTTATTTTTTCTTGATATTTATACTGTTATTATTAAAACAAACTCACATATATTATCTTTTTGACTATGTATACTTGAAATAGAAATACTTTTTTATTTGCAAAATTTAACCTAATTTAAATCATTATACAAACTTTTCAGGAATTGGAAAAATTAGCATCACGAAAACTTAAAATAAATGCCAAGGAAACTATGCGTTTAGCGGAAAAGTTGTACACGCAAGGTTTCATCAGCTACCCTCGCACAGAAACTAATGAGTTTCCAAAGGAGATGAACTTGCGACAACTTGTGGAATATCACACGGGAGACCCCAATTGGGGGAGGTTTGCTCAGGGGATACTGGACGATGGGGGGCCAACTCCGCGTCAGGGGAACAAGAGCGACAAAGCTCACCCTCCCATACATCCAACAAAATATACTAACAGTAAGACATTTTGTACATTATAATATCAAATTAAATAAAAGTAGTGATTACCAATTCTTCTAAATTCACCCATTAATATTTTTTTGTGTCAAGTTTTATTCGCTTCAAGATAAATGAAATGAATTTAAAATAATCAAAATAACAGAACAAACAATGTATCACAGAGTATAATTTTCTAACATAATAATCTATTTTTTTTTGAAAAAATTTACATAAAATTTGTACTGGCTGTATCTGTGTATTAAAATTATAAAAAATAATTAATAGTCATTTTTGTGTTTTTAAAGGTCTGTCAGGTAATGAACAACGTTTATACGAGTTCATAGTGCGCTCGTTCCTTGCGTGTTGTTCAAAGGACGCACAAGGACAAGAGACGACGGTCAGTATTGACATCGCCAAAGAGACCTTCTCAGCCAGTGGACTTATGATCATCGCAAAGAATTATCTAGAAGTTTATCCTTACGATAAATGGTCTTCCAAAGAAATTCATGTCTATGAGGTAAATACGAAAAATCTAGTTGTCGCTCTCAAAGTAAAGAGGTCTCTGAAGGTTTTTATTTAGTACTAGCTGTCGCCTTCGACTCCGTCCGCGTGGTATAAAAAAAATTATTAGTAGCCTGTTTTCTTCCAGGCTATGTATAATACAACAATTGGAGATGCAGTTTTACGGTAAAATTGGCTCAAATTCTTATTTATAATAGTTAATATTGTTTTCAGAATGGTCAAACATTCAATCCGACGAGTATCGATTTAGTAGAAGGAAACACATCACCACCAAACTTGTTGACGGAGGCCGATCTCATTGCTCTAATGGAAAAACACGGGATTGGTCAGTATTCTAAGATTTCTAGTAGCTTAATATTTTATGTGTACGACCAAAGTAGTGCTCAAAAGTGGGCAGCAAATTAAATTCTTTATCTACATCTTTGACCATATAGGTACGGACGCGACTCACGCGGATCACATCGAAACAATAAAGAATCGTTCGTATGTCGCACTGGCGGATGGGCTGCACTTCGTGCCAGGTCTGCTGGGCATGGGACTGGTGGAGGGGTACGATGCTATGGGGCTCAACATGGCGCGCCCGCATCTGCGCGCTCAGCTCGAGGCAGACCTCAAGGCAATCAGTGACGGCACCAAGCAACCGGACCTTGTCCTAGCTGAACAGGTATTGTAGGATTTTTGCTTTTTATTAATATGAGTGTTAATTTGCAGTAACAGTTTAGGCCACGTTTTCACTAGCTTGACGCACAGCTGGTGGCTCAGTGAAAAACAGTTTAAAGATTTTTTTTATACTAACTCGCATTCGACTCTGTCCGTGCGGAAATTAAAGTAAACTTAATTAGTAACCTATATTTTACTATACTATATACCCAGACTAATTTCTACATTTGTGTCAAATTTTATCAAGATTTGTTTAGCCGTACCAGAGATACTTTCTAATAAACATCCATCCATCCATCCAAACATTCGCATTTATAATATTAGTAAGATATCTAAATTCGTGTTATTTCCATTGATAACTTTTCTATTAGCAAGATCGGGCGAGTGGTGTACTCTCATTGGACTGTAAATAATCTTAGAATTTGTCATTAATTGAACAAAATTCACTTTTGGTTGTATATAAATGCATACTAATTTTTAGGTAGCAAGATACAAAGAAGCATTTATAATGGTGACAGCGGAAGCTAATAAAATAGACAATGCACTTGCAGAAAGGTTCAGTGAAACACCCAATGAGTATGTTCCCACCACTGAAACATTGCCACTCAACATGCCTACAGGTAAATTACATTTTTCTTTAATTATTTTCAAACTGAACGGTTCAGTTTACTTTAGCGTCTAAATATCTTACTGGAATTCAATGTGTTAACATATAACTTTTTATTTATTACTACCTGTCACCCGTGCAGAGGTAAAAAAAAATGAATAAGCCTATGTCCTCTTCCTGACTATGTTCTACATCTATGCGAAATTTCAGCGAGATCCGTTTAGCCATTCCGGAGATGCCTTCAAACAAACATTTATAATGTTAGTAATAAGTAACATAATTTTATTAAAACTTTAATTGATATTTTTAGTATTAAAATGTCCGAAATGCGGATCAGGAATGGTTTTGAGACAGAAAAAGAACAATGCAGACGAATTGTTTATAAGTTGTCTGTCGTATCCAAGTTGTAAGAACGCAGTTTGGTTGCCGAATGTTGTCAAATCTTTACAAGTGCAAGATCGAACTTGTCCTGTGGTAAGTTAGTACATATTATATATACTAATGTTGAAACCATTATGACAAAAAACAATAGGAATGTCTTTTTTTACAATTAATTTTTAATTCCAGTGTGGTCCAAATTATAACATTTTGAAATTCGAATGGCGAAACAATTCGATAAGTCATTTGTATCCGCCGCCTTATGACGGTTGTATCGGCGGCTGCGACCCCGCATTCCTAGATATACTACAAATAAATCCATCCTCTGTCAAAGCGTCTAATTCAAACCAAAATATATCTAATAACAATAGACCTATAGTTGAAAATCGCACAAATACAAGCAATACTACAAATAACGTCAGACCTCAAGCACAAAGACAAACGACTATAGGAAATATGCCGACGAGAAATAACACTGGGAATAGACAAATAGGGCAAATTGCACCCACAGTCAATGACAGTAGGTTGCAAAATACAACGCAAACGAGAATACCTCCGCCCAGGATAGTTGGCGACTCTGAAGATAACAACGTCCTATGCAGCTGTAATAAACCGGCGATACAACTCACTGTGCGGAAACAAAACGCTAATTTCGGTCAGTATGTTTACTAAACTCAAGTAATTTTTTCATATGTTTAGTCAGACTAAAACGGCATGTTGGCTAAAATAATTTATACTATTTTACAACTTAGTACTATTAACATGAATATTCTATTTAATTTTTTTCATAGAGAACTACATACATATCAACGTTTTTTGGTATTATCTTAATAATTTATTAAAATTACAGGTAAAAAATTCTACAAATGCGCAGCAATGAGAGACAACGGTGGGTGTGATTTCTTTCTCTGGGCACCAGAATCAGAGAATACAGTCCAGAATCAGTTCGAGACGCCGCCCGACTCTGGCTGGGGCTCCGAGCCGCCCAGTGCCGGCACCTCCAACTCCTCGCGAGGCTGGGGCATAGCGCCCACCTTCAGTAGATCCGACTACACGCCCAATGAAGACGATGTTATGTGCAACTGTGGCGTCCCAGCCAGACGGTGATTTAAATATACAACGAAGAATAAGAATCAATGTCATCCACATTTACTGTCACAAATTTCCATTGTCATGCTCATTTTCTGTCTCGCACTCACATCGTCATTGCATTGTACCCATATTTTAAAATACTATAACTGAAAAGAATTTAGTAATGTAGTAATAATAGTAAAAATTAGCTTGTACTAAGTATTCTTGTTTCAGAGTAACTGTCCAAAAAGAAGGTCCTAATAAAGGCCGGCCGTTTTATGGATGCCCGAAAGACTTCAGTTCCCGGTGTTCTTTCTTCCAATGGGCGGATTCCGGCACAACTGGTAATGACTATTTTTTAGTGTCTTCAAGAACATATGTTCTTCAATGTAAAAAATATGTGTGAACAGGAATGCTTCCTACCGTTTCGTCTCCTTCGTCAGGCATCTTTATTTTTTTCAGTGGAGTGGAATAATAGCAGCACTAGCAGTAGTAGAGGTAGAGGCCGCGGACGAGGCGGAGGCGTGGGCAGGGGACAAAGTCGGGATGGTGGGGGCGGGGGCGGAGCAGGGCGTGGCAGAAAGTGTGGCCTCTGCAGGCAGGAGGGCCACACAAGGTCCAGGTGCCCAAATAATCAATAAAATACCCAAAGGTCCAATGGATTAAGGAAAGCAATAAAAACAAAGTTTTGTAATTTTTTAGATACGTTATATTATAGGAATAAATGATAATTAAAGTCTCTTAAAAACCGCTGGTTATTGGTATTTGTATAAATGTGCCATATTAATAATATTTATTGTTTGTAAAATTTTCATCCCGTCGCAATTACTCTAAGATTTCCATGTATTGTTGTTGTATATTATTGAAAATGTAAATAAAACATGTATTGTTATTTATATACATAGACTTTTTTTTTGACTTCTAAGAAAAATAACAGTTTCTGAGACCAAAATCCCCATTTGAAATATACTGTTAATTCTGTTTGTCAAAGATACTGACAGAGATGACGATATATTTTATACAGAGACATTGGTCTCAGAAACCAAAAGTCAATAAATTTAGGAAACACATCAACACATTCTGTTGTTAAACATTTCTTTTTATGATTTCTCCCAAATGATTACTTCTCAAATTTCAGACGACTTAAAGTTGTATCAAAACAACATATTCTTCAATGTAATCAGTTTAATTGTTATTTTACTTAACAATATGTTTTGATCTATATATAGAGATCATTGGTTACAATAATATTTACAGTAAAAGATAACATGAGGACTTTGCACTGTCTTGTATTTATCTTATTTTCATCTCTTTCATTGTCATTGTACAAAAGAAAGACAACAATATGCATTAATACAGCAGTCGAATCCCAAAGTAATATTAAGAAGCAGAAGTCTTGAATACATTCACCACTTCTGCTTTTTAGCCTTCTTCAATGAGCTGAGGCTCTGTGCACGCTGTACATCCGTCTGCTGCTGCTGCTCCGCTTCAACAGTCTTGTCAGTCATCATGTCCAATAGGATTTCGAATTTAAGACGTAACATGTTGTTCTCTTCCTCCAATTGTTCCAGTTCCTTCTTGAGACGCAGATTCTCCTTATAAGCTGCACCCGCTCGCCCGGACACTGGAATATAAAAATTTTCATAGTAACTTGCAAAATACATCGAAGTACACCTTAAAGGAGGAACAAAGAACAATTGTTTTTACGTAACACCTAGGCCAAAGTGAAATAATTGATTGCAATAAATGGTCGCTATGTATGCACTTAGTGAAACTCTACAAGGGCGATTTCTTTATAAGAATTGTAATCTACCTGGTATCCATTGGCCTTCTTCAAAAGATACTTCAAAGTCGCCCAACTTTATCTTAACAGGATTCAAGTCAATAGATAATTCCCTCGATGCGTAGTCGCTGCCAAACTCATTTCTAACCACCGAAGTATCATGCCGACGGACGGGTATAGTTTTAGGAGTGAATTTATTGCTGAATAATGGCATTTTATAAAAAAAAATCAATGCCTCCAAACAAAGAATACGTAACTACTTCGCAGTAGCTTCCAATGTGACATCAAAACAACCGTTTCTATGGAAACATTAATGAAAACAACAAGTTCACAGATTATATATGGTTACTAAATAGATTATATACATGTAAACGGCCAGGATATTATTTTTATTAATAAATATTTTGTTGCAATTCGGATTTGCAACAATTTATAGAAAAGCTGAGAAAAATGTTTACTATCAAAGTTATATTACCAAATCGAAAATACTGTTGTCAATTAATTTAAATTGTAACTTAAAACAAGTCACGTGCCTGAAAATGTAGATACAATACCAGTTTTCTTAATATCAAATTAACATTTTAGGGTCATTTAAATGTTAATTTATTTTGTAGGCATAATTGGCATTATATGTTATATGATATTTACATAAACAAGAAAATGTATGTGACAAAAAGCCTACAATCATGCCATTTCAATGATTTCAACACATTCGTTGTCTTTAAGACAAAATTTTACGCAATTCGTATTAAACATAGGTAAAATAAAACAAGTTTTAATAAATAAATTATTTAATACTGATTGTTAATCGAGTTGGATTTTTAATACAATCGTAATACGAAAAAAGTAAATAGTAGAAAAATTGTAAAAGTAAGAAAAGTAAATTGTCTTAAAATTGAAATATTGCTTTTTGTGTACATATTAAATAAGTAATTAATTGTTCATGACTTCAGTCTGAATAACATCACAGCTGGAATGATGAGGACGATTGAGCCCAGAGAATACGTTACAGCAGCGCCGGAGCACCAGTAGGCTGGAATTTAAAATAAAAACATAAACATAGTTCGCGTTCATTACTACATCTTAATTACACAGATGATCCAAAGCCTACAAAAATATAATACTTGTGGCAATTCATAAATATGATTAGATTTGTGATGTCAAGTAGGAAGTATAAATGTTTTGTAACTATAAGACAATAATAATAATAAGCTATCTACAATATTTTCGAAATATTAATGTTACAATATCATCACAGTTTACTATAATTCTTGGTAAAAGCAATGTATTCAAGAACATTTATGACACATAATATAAACGAAGGTTTTTCTGACCTGCAGAGGCGAGGAGAGGTCCGGCGGCACGGGCGAGCGCGCCCAGCGAACGCAGCGCCCCCAGCACAGCACCCCGCGCGCCTTCCGGCGCCTGCGCAGCTGCCAGTGACGTCATACACGACACCGCGAATGCTGTCGCTATACAAAAGATGCGGCAGGAAATTACTTGGAAGGAAAGTGATTAGGTGTAGACAGTAAAGCGAAGCATTATATGTAGGGGGGCGAACGGTACCAAAACAAGGAGAATTATAAAATGTCAAGGGTTACGTCTACCGAGAAAGTTATGGAGAAAACATAGACACAAAGACCAAAACAGTTTTAATCAATTGCCAACCTAAAATCTGTATTTTAGGTAGTAAAAATCCACTTACACACTGCGAAAACTACAAGTCCTGCCCACAGCCAGGCGATGGGCGATAAGAGTGCGGGGTCAGCGCAGGCTGCGAGAGCCACGCACAGGAAGGAGGCGGGCGTAAGGGCTAGGGCCAACCGCGCCACAGTCTCCGCACCACGCGGGCCCAGCCGTCGCGCCGCGCCCCCTTGCAGCACCGCCATTATCACACCTACACACATTGTATGAAGGTAAATGTCAATGAAGCATAGCTTTAGCTACATTAAATTAAAACACAATTTAATTTTCAGCAAGAAAATAAATTTCCGTTTATGGCCAAATTGACCTTACTAAGTTCTTCAGTCACTGTACTTTCCTTTAGTGTTAGATTTTTATGTACTTTATGTACGAATAGTAAAAGAAAAATAGGTAGTCAAAGTAATGTAAAAAATACAAGACAAATGGACATAATAAGATGTGTGTGGCTTCTGTCTCATATTACAATATCTTTTTACTACAGTTAATCCTGTAAACTAACTTCCACTAATTGGAAGCACCTAAAGAAGGTAAAACGATTAAAAGTATAACTTATATAGTTAATTTTAGACATTATTAGTTAAAATAGTTTGGAGATATTTATAAGTGAGGGGACATAAATGTTGACATTTTAATAGGACTAGTATTGCGCCGATACACCGACAGTGACGAATTTTCTTCCTAACAGTTATTAATTTGATCCAAAATTATTTCGTCAGTGTATTTTAAAGATGAAATAAAAAATTCGGATATAACTTCGAAGACACATATATTAAAAACAATAGAGTTTAAAACGATTTATTAAAGTTACTTTTGGCCTTCTAGTTGTATAAAAACTTTTTGTTATGTTGAATTGATAGTAGTATTATTCAATATCCTCATTGTACTGTATAATCGACGCTTCCGTCGCATTGAGCAAAGTGTTTATAAAACTAAATGTGATTCACTGTCTACAGAGAGAAAGAATGTTTCAATTGTATTTTCATATAAGCATCAAGATGTATTCAATAGCACATAATATATTAATATAATTAAATTATTATAATATATTACTATGTATTTATTGAAGGTGAACTTACCGATAACTAGAAACATTTTCCCTTGCTGCATAGCGGTGTAGGCAAAGGTGTGGTGCGTCAGGAAAGTTATTGTAAACTCGAGGCCAGAGTAAATAAACAAATATATGAAGTAAATCAGTCCCAATTTAGATAATACTTTGTTTTGATGTTGCGACAGATTCTCAACAGCGGAGAATTTCAAAAGGTGCCATGGGGAGACATATTCGATGGCTTTAGAGAGAGACAGAGAGAGAGGTGCTCTTTTATCCTGAAAGAAAAATCCTTATAAACCAAAAGCACAAAGTTAAGAACAAAGTTAACAACAAAGTTAAGTTCATGTTCATAATTACTTATTAGACCTCTTTTCTGTGAAAACCTACTTTATCCATAGACAATATGTTATATACCATTTTGAATAGGAAAAGGAATCAGGTGGAGTTAACATCTGGCGATCATTTGCTTAGTGGAAATAGGGTTTTACACTATCTGTTTCAATATGCAACATATATAATGAATGTACAAACCTTTGACAGTGTTTCTGGCAAAAACAAAAACACAAGTGCAATGTTGGCTAGTGACAAAGAGAGAGCATACAGAGCAGGTCTCTGGCCCCATAGGCCAAAGTTAGCGTCGTTCGTCTTCGCGAACCAGGCGCCCGCCATAGGACCTACTATGAATCCAATGGAAAATGCTAAACCTACGAGAGCCTGAAATCAATACAAATTCATAAAGCATATAAAGTAAAAAAAAATAAGCTACAAGCTGTCGCCCGCGACTCTGTCTGAGTGATATTAAAAAAAACTTAATTAGTTCCTGACAATCATTCTAATTTTTCTCACCTTTTAAACCTTCCCTAGACCTCCACAAATGTTTCAAGACTAAGATAAGCTAAATCCGTTCAGCCATTCTCGAGTTTAAGTGAGACTAACATACAGGAATTGAATTTTATATATATATATATATAGATATTTATATACAAACTGAAATTGTATGTTGAAAAAATTATATTTGCTAGTAAATGCCAGTTTAGTAGATTTCTTACTTAGCTTAAATTTGGCTAAATTCGAAATTCAACTGCATTTAAAATAAGCAACTCCTGAGCTTCTAGCTTTGTACCAGAAGCAACTTGAGTTGATTCATCCATCCATCTAAACATTGGCATTTATAACATTAACAAGAAGAAAATCTCACCATTCCACGTGCCCTTGTCTTTTCTCCGGAAGCATCTGTGACAATAGCCATACTAAGGCTTACATTTGCCTTGCTCAAGCCTCCTATGAACCGAGCCAATACAAACATACTGAAAGTACTTGCGCAACTCCATAATGCATGAGACAATGCTATTCCTAACTAAAAGAAATTATAATGAGATAAAACACTTATATTTATTTTATGAAAGATGTAAGTAACAGGTAGAAAAATTGAATAACAAAATAATTGCTGAACACTTAAATTGACTAATTGAGTTTATCCAATTACTTGTTATTTAATTATTCTCTAATTTTAAAATTAAAAGGTGGGATGTTACTTATTATTCATTTGTATAATCAGTAAATAATATACATTCAAAAGTAATTAATAATTAAATTAGGAAATAATTATACTAAATAAAGGAAAATTTCACATCCATTTACCCTTGACAAAACAAATCATCAGAGGGAAAACATTTGAATTTATTTAATTATATTTTGCAGTACTTTAGTATATTTGTAACACTTAATCATTTTATAACAAAAAATGTTAGCCAACATACTAACTTATTTGGGAAGACACAATTATTCCATACCTAATATCTAATCAATAGATATTTAAACATGGTTAAACACTCATGTATATTTGTCCGCTGGCGGCACCAACTAGTTTCCAGCCCTCACTCAGTGAGCGAAGGGCCGTGTCCACAAAATAATACCAGTATCACTCATCCTGATGAAGGGCCCCCAATGGGCTCGAAACTAGTCGGTGCCGCCACCAGACGAATATACATGAGTCTTTAACTGTGTTTATATATCAGTTTAGTATAATGTCTCACGAAAGTTTGAATAATTCAATAGATATTTGAAATATGTACTTGTGTTATCTTTGATATGAATCATCTCTTACACTATCTTATTCTATTTTAATAAGATATATCTTTATCTACAAGTAGTTTACTCCAATTTATAAGATACTGTATCAAAAACAAGAACACAAGCACTAATAGATAAATAAATACTTGGTACTATTGTGTAGTATGAAGTTAAAATTTATTTCAAAACACTTACTAAACAAATTAACAGCATAGGTTTTCTTCCATATGCATCTGATAAACTGCCGACAATAGGACTTGTGAGGAATTGCAAGAAACTGTACATAGAACCCAGTGCTCCTCCAAACAGCACTGATGCAAACCTATCAGGTGCACCAGTCAACTTCTGGAAGCTTCTCACAGCATATACTAAAGTTGCATACAATGAATTTCCTTTACCCTCCTCCTTGTCGTAATAATCAAGTAATGATGGCAATAATGGTAAAATCATTGTAAAAGCTAAAAGATCCAGAAGCAAAGACACAAACACTAAGCCAATAACTTTTCCTTTTCGTGTATCATCGCTTTTATTGTTTAATTTAATTTCGTTATCAAGCAAACCATTTTCTTTATAGTTGTTGTTATTTTTTCTATATTTTAAGCCATCTATAGGTAAGTGATCCTGGAAATAAAAATTATTTTTTTTAATTATTTCCATTCATTACATGTATATCAATAAAAATTTTAGTTTACAGTGCATTTTCCGTATGACACATTTTTATTTCATACATTGATTGTAACTTATAAATAAAAACCTATATCAGAAAAATAATAAATAAAAACATTCACAAACTTAAACACTCACCATTGTTTATGAAAAGCTATCAAGAATGACGAATGGAGTGATTTTACACTGAGGAACTTCTAAATCCATCTAATTATTAAAATACTAATACAACATCAATAGAACTTGTTTTAAAGAAGAACTTTCACTTCCACTTCCTCCCTCCATCACCAGCCGCAAACCCGCCAACGTCAAATTAAAATTAACAGAACTTAAACGTCAAACGCACTCAAACGAATTAAAGTCAAACGATTTGACAGATCTTTCACTCAGTACAAAAATTATTTAACTTTTAATCTTACTTACCATATTTACTATAGACAAGAAGTGCTGCCAAATACCTCGCTGCCATAGTATAAACTCTTTGGTACAGAGCTAATTTTCAAATAGAGTTGCAATACCAACCTAACAAACCAACTAAATGTCAAATTAAATGCGTCGATAGGAAGAGGAAGCCATTTTGTGAATTCTGTGTGTTGTTTTTGATGTTTCATTAAACGTTTTCAGTAGGAAGATATTCATATTTTAATAACTTTAACTATACCATGGGTGAAGATAAAGGTATGTGCAATTTTAAATAGTGGTATGTTGTATATTAAGCATATTTTAATCTTAAACATTTTGGCGTCATAGATCGGCGACGCAGATCTCGTTCAAGAGAACGGCGACGAACAAGGTCTAGATCGAGAGACCGAAGAGAGAAGAGAAGAAGTAAATCAAGATCACCGTCTAAGAGATCTCGTCGCCGCAAGCCTTCGCTATATTGGGATGTACCGCCACCGGGATTTGAACATATTACTCCTCTGCAGTACAAGGCCATGCAGGCAGCCGGACAAATACCTGCGAACATCGTTGCAGACACACCACAAGCTGCTGTACCTGTAGTCGGTTCAACAATAACAAGACAAGCGCGAAGATTGTACGTCGGAAACATACCGTTTGGAGTCACTGAAGAAGAGACAATGGAATTTTTCAATCAGCAGATGCACCTGTCAGGTTTAGCGCAAGCGGCTGGTAATCCAGTATTAGCTTGCCAAATAAACTTGGACAAAAACTTTGCATTCCTTGAGTTTAGATCTATTGATGAAACAACCCAAGCTATGGCCTTTGATGGTATAAACTTCAAAGGTCAGAGTTTGAAGATAAGGAGGCCGCATGATTATCAACCAATGCCTGGAACTGAGAATCCAGCAATAAATGTGCCTGGTAAGTCAGTTTTCATTTGCTTCTTTTTTTACCCCTAGTAAATTACCTGAAATATTATTTGCCACATAATGGTGTATATTTTATGTTGGCAATTGATTAGTGCATTTTCCCTGCAATATCTGCCTATGTCCATGGCAAGCATTAAGTTTTTTAAAATCTAGTGATATTTTTCCAGCTGGTGTTATAAGTACAGTTGTACCAGATTCACCACATAAGATATTCATTGGTGGCCTCCCCAACTATCTCAACGAAGATCAAGTAAGTGGGTTTTATATAATTATTATTAACTCTACAATAATATTTTTAATATTTGAAAACTATGCTCCAGGACAAAAAAAAACTGTATTGCATTAATAATGCACTTAATTTGTTGGTGAAACAAAATGCATTATGCTATATACTTTTGAAAGTCACCAATTATTTTTACATAAATATGTAATATATACTATTAATAGTTGAACCTTGATAAGCAAGATGCAGTTTTTCCCTTACCAAGTTTCTTGTTTATAGAGAGTGTCTGAAAGAACTAGACAATGACTAGCTAATAATAGTTTCTCGCTTATACAGATTCAACTAGTATTTCGCCTAATATGTTTTTTATGAAATCTACATATGTCCCCATATCCCGTACTATTAATAATTATGACGACCAAGAGTAGTGAATTCAATTCAACATGTTACAATTTGGACATTAAATGAAAATAATAACACAATTTAAATAATAAAAGCTGACTGCCAATCTGTATTCAATTCAATGATAGGGATTTTTCATATTAAAAATTTTAGAATACCTCTCAAAGTGCAACCAAAACTGCATAAATTATATGTTTCAGATGGAGTACCATCTCGGGTGCAACCATTTCTGATGAAATTTTTAACATTATAGCCTTGGAAAATATTGCACAAAAAATCAGAAATTAAATTGTTACCAATGTAATATTTTCTATGGTTTGGTTCATGGTGAAGAATGTTCTTGCGTGTAAACATCTCAAAATTTCCCATAGACAATTTAAATTATGAGAAATAATTTACTGTTTTTCAGTAATGTAATTTTGACCAGGATGTGACTTGCATACATATTGTCAATTTTAGGACATTTAGATAGTTCCCATTAAATAAACGGTAGAGGCAGCTGCCATTTTCAGGACGAGATTCAACAGTTGACAGGGCTATGGTGCAGCAAGCAGCAAATCGCGTTATGTTTTGGTCCCTTTCAGGTATTTTCAGGTACTCGAAACGGACGAGTGTGTACATTACACGCTCGAGATATATTCGAGACAAGTAACTGATAGTTTGCTTTCTGCCCCTCCCTAGCTTAGATTTGGCACATTCGCGGCCCGCGTGTCACTGTTGTCTCTCAGTCTCACACAAGTCTCGTACTTGCCCGAGACGCCGGCATGATAAGGCAAGTCAGCTCCATTCATATCTGATTCTAACATGCAGCTAGTCGCAGGTCAGATTGTATTATTTATATGTATGCTGCAGTCAATGTGTAACGGGAACTAGTTTTTCAAATACTAGCTATAATAATATATAATAAAACAATTATTATATATAGTCTGTGTAGAAATGTAAATGGCAAAAGACTTACATATGGTTGTGTATAACAGGTGAAAGAACTTCTGATGTCATTCGGTCAGCTTCGTGCTTTCAATTTGGTGAAGGACTCCTCTACAGGTCTCAGCAAGGGCTATGCATTTGCTGAATATGTAGACATATCCATGACGGATCAGGTAACTTAAATTATTGCTATAATAAATATGTAAATGACTTGGGTATAGAACTTTTTTAATCATTTTTTTTCTGTCTTCAAGGCAATTGCAGGTTTGAATGGAATGCAACTAGGAGATAAGAAGTTAATTGTGCAGCGAGCGAGCATCGGTGCCAAGAATTCCACCTTGGGTGTGTACATCCAATGTAATTGAAAACAATTTTACTTTTAAAATTTCTAACCATTAATCTTTTATAGCACATTGTTTAAACAATGTATTATTTTTGTTTACTTACCATGATCTAGGTCAAGATTGGCTTGCATGTGACAACATACCATTTATGTATTGTGTGTAACTTTAGTATGAAATGCGGTAAGTCAGATTTAATTCAATTTTAATTCATTTAATATTTTCATTGAAAAGCAGTTTTTGGAATATGACCAGTAGTGTCAAGCATTAGTAATGATTTATTAAATTGACTGTACAGGATGTTCAGAAATCTTGTATACAATACAAAAAAACTTTACAAAGTTTATCTTTTGACTAAACTATCTTGTACACATGATTTCGAGACAGCCTGTATTACAAGGACATAATTATAAAACGTATATAATATGTTATGCAGCAATGACGGGTGCAGCGCCGGTAACATTACAAGTGGCCGGACTGACGCTGGCGGGCGCCGGCCCCGCCACCGAAGTGCTGTGTCTACTCAACATGGTCACACCAGATGAACTGCGCGACGAAGAGGAATATGAAGACATTCTCGAAGATATCAAGTGAGTTTAAATGATCTGAATACATTGCAACATCATTTGAAACATAATTAATTAACCTTTAAACTTATGTTGATTAAGTAATCATTTGTTTTAAGACAAAAAAAATTGAAATCCATTTAATAGTTTCTGAGATAAGGAATCGTTAAAATCATTATTTCAATAGATAATCCAACTAATTTCTTAATAATTAAAACCATTTTCTGTGGTTTATTGAATTATTAATTAAATAAAAAAAAATTTGCTATATTATATTATTGCTAATAAAATTTTATTATTTCAGAGAGGAGTGCAATAAATATGGCTGCGTCCGCAGTATCGAGATACCCAGACCTTTAGAGGGAGTTGATGTGCCCGGCTGTGGAAAGGTGAGAAATTTACGTAAAAGTCATTTGTACTGTATTTTAGGAGTGACAAATATAGTTACTCAGATTTATATGTTACTAGCTGTCGCCCGCGATTCCGACCGCGCGGAATTAAAAAATGTTAATAAGTAGATGGTCTACATCCATGCCAAATTTCAGCGTGATCCGTTCAGCGGTTCCGGAAATACATTCAAACATCCATCCATCGACATATAAACATTTGCATTTATAATATAAGTAAGCTTTAAATAACTGTTTGTTGTTTTCTTCAGGTATTTGTCGAGTTTAACAGTATTGCGGATTGTCAGAAAGCGCAGCAAACTCTCACTGGGCGAAAGTTCAGCAATCGGGTTGTCGTGACGTCATACTACGACCCCGACAAGTATCACCGCAGAGAGTTTTAACCTGTCTGTCTCATTGCATCGCTTTACATTTTAAATGATTAATCTCGTAATAAATTTAAATCAGACATTCAAGGTTCAATAAAATGATTTAATTTGGTTTCATTTAATTTATTTGTGTTTTATTGTAAAAATCTTACATAATACATATTTCATATTTGAAACAGGTGTATAAAATAATTTTACTTTATTATATTTTTTTTAAATTTTAAAGGTCAAGTCTGAATTACCAAAACCAACGAAAATAACACGCACACTATTGTTATTTTACGGTAGTATAAATGAGTTTAAAATACCTCTGATCTGGACATTTTCGTTAAAAGCTAATTTTAAAATTACAATTTGCTAACCTATAAAAACTTTAATTATTAAAATTTCGTAAAGAAATCGATAAGTTATAAAAAAAATTGCGAATTAAACATCTTCATTCTGTAACGCCGGCTGGTATGTGTTGAGGGAGCCAGTTTCAGACGAGAGCACTATTTTACGCATTACCACGTACAGAACTCCACCAACGAGCAGCATGCCTATTCCTGACATCAGACTGATGGCCCATGCCGGTACAGCGTTGCCATCTGGAAACCGTTTGATTTGAAAATGGTGCCACTTTTACACTGCTATCCCTATTTCTTTTTTGCAAATAAAATGTTGAGAAGTAAGACTGTATTTCCGTTAAACAGGTGTGGACAGTGGAGATGCATTGTTACTGGCTTATATTAGCCGGTAAGACGATATGATTCTTTATAACACAATTCACATTGGTTCAAATTGCAAATTGAATTCAAATTCCGCTTTTAGCAAAGTAAAATACAAAAACAATGACTCACGGTAGTACGTCCTTGTCATAACACGTCTTCCTCTAAGAATTTTTCTTCTTGCTTCTGCTTCTTGAGCGATTGTGCTTAATATAACTGAAAAACACAGAATCAATGATGAATTAATTTTATATGCATTTGATATGAATGTAAAGGGCTTATTTTTACCTTCTGACAAAAAAAAATATTTTTTTCAAATATCAAGTTAATCAAAAGCAAGACTTATGAAACATTTTAGCCTTTTATTTGCACCAACTGCGCTTTTCTTGAGCATTAGAATTTATTGTAGCAAATAGTTTACCTACTAATCCAGTTACGATATAATCTGATTTACCTAGGCCATAGCTATTGTACATGTAATGCTAAAGCTTACCTAAAATAACGGCGACGTAGAACAATAGGGGCTTCTTTAGAGCCATTTTAGTTATTTTAATAACGAATTTAACAAAGTGATCACAATATTACAAGGGTTTTTTTTTATTAAAACGTAAGTTTACGGTACGACACAAGGAGCACGGGTGTGTTTTTTAGCACAGGCTTATCGCTCCTAGATAAGATAGTGATTACTAATAAACGTGAGTCGTCCGCGCTTTGTACTTGTGAAATACAACAAATACTTTGAAACAGAATTCTATGAAAATGATCATTTAAAGACTCGGTACTTTTTAATCGCTCCTCAATATTACATTAAGAATGTAGTGTAGTAAAAGATGATGTAGTTATTTCTAATATTCCAATTGGCAATTCCTCTGTAGTATAAACATTAGTATCTCATCTTCCCTCATTTAGCCACTAATAAGCAACTGTGACATGAACTTGTTATCTTAAATATCTATTAGTTAAGTTTAAGTATTAAATCTATGGCACATTCGGATTCGAATGCGCGCGGTAGAATCCTAGCTACGGCTCTGCTCTAGTAAAATAGCTGTTAGGAGGTACACAAAAAACAGACGATTGAGCGATGTTGGTGCAATTTATCGTTTTTTTTTTCTTTAGTGTGAACTTATCTTTATTATCAAATTGTACCTGGCGAAGATATGCATCAAACGATAGGGCTTTTTTGGTATGAAATACAAGGTTACAAAGGGAACCTAAGTGTAATTTAATATTCCTATACAGGTTTCTTATTGGTTAGCAGGTAGTAGAGTGGAGCTGTAGATTTCAAAATTGCAAGAAGGCACTCTATGACCAAGCACTGTCAGATGTGATATACTCTTTGATAAAAATTCAAAATGTCAGTAAATTATTTTTGTTGTGTATTGAACTAAAAATTTAAGTTAACCTTAAAATTTTATTTAAAAAATATAAATAAAATTTGATGCAAAATGGCTACTAGTCGCTTAGAAAGAATTGGTACCATATTTACAAGGTATACAAGTTGATTTAAAATTCTTAGTATATTGTCATACCTTTTTTTAATAGTAAAAAATATTGAAAGTAGTGAAATTTATATTGGTGGGAATTTGTTCATACTTTTCCAACCAAAAGATTTATATTTTTCTTACAATGCATTGAATTTCAAAGATAATGTTTACTAAAAGATTATATTGTTTCAATTGCAAGCTAGTCTCCGTGATTAATATTTTTTAAAACGGTTCTTCATAAATTTAATTTTATTCTTATAGAGTGGAAGGTCTCCTTACTCGTGGGGCAATGAAACCTGATGACCGGCCACTATGGTTTGATGTGTACAGAGCATTTCCTCCAAATGAAGAACCCAAGTTTGCTAGACCTAAGCCTGAAATGAAAATTAGACAAATCCTGTATAAAGAGGATGCTATCAGAGCGTAAGTTAATTTAATAATATATATAGTATAGTACCCTAAAATATGCTGAGTGATTGGTGCCTTTGCTAAAGATTTTTAAATTTTATTTTTTGTGTTGGTGTAAGAATTTTTAATCTGTATCTTAATATACATTAATTGATTACAGAAAGTTCCATTCAGAGGGTCATGGTATAGGGATGAACATGTTAAATCCATCAGGCGAGACACAAACTAAACGGTTAATACAACAATATGAAAAGCTCAAGTCTGAAGGAGTGCCTGAAAATGAACTTATTGAAAAGTCAGTTGCTGCAGTTTCTGTCGAGCGCCAGTTAGCTTCCAAAACTATTCCTAAAAATCCAGATTCAGTTACTGCTCAAGTTTTGGGCAGTGCAGACATAAAAAACATATTCAAAGAATGAATGTATATTTAATTTGTATGTTGTAGTTCTTTTTACTTAGTATAATATATAGAAAGATTGTTAAAATAAAGGAGTTTTATGAAGTTTCTTTTTACATTACTCTTTAAGCAGTTGAAAGTTCCAGTAGTATATTATCAAGTGTTATTATACCAAAAACAATAAATGCCAGATCTTTGTACATGGTGACCATGTACATTACATATAATGTACATGGACATAAATGTAAGTATGTAATATAATATAGCATATGATAACTCATATTGTTCATAGTCTACAGACAACAGATTAAATAATTAAAAGTAAGAATAAAGTTTTAAGTATTTTATTCAAAACAGAGAGATAAACACATAGTAGCAAGACAGTTATAGAATTGTTTTACGTATAGGGATAATGAATAATCAGAAATTAAAAATTGTTTCGCATTGCTTGAAAGAAGGTTTTTTGCAAATTTTCCCATTCATTGCGCTTTATTTTTGAAACAAGATTCTCTTGCAATTTTCTCATATCCTCTTCTAATTCTTCTCCAAGTTTATCGGTTTCTGCTTTATGATCTACTTCCATTTCTTCACATCTGTTATGAAAAGATAGAATTTAGAATATTATAAAAAGAATATTACATTAAATGTACCAAGATTTGTGTTTATTACTCTTTTTTAAATGCGCCATGGATTTCTTTCAAACTCTTCAGTTTTTGTTTATGTGAATTAGTAGCCTGTTGAATGCATTTGATAAATGATCCTGTTAAGTGTTCTAGTTTCTGTTCGTTTTCTTTTAAAACATTGTAATCTGCTTCTAGATTACTTACAACTTCCATTAGACTCTTTAGTAAATTTTCGTATGTTTGTTTCCTGGAATTTGTAACAAATGTAATACATACACATTAATACATATAAAAAACCGCTTTTCATAAAATATTTACCTCGTTAGAATTTGGTCATTCATAACATTCACCAGTTTTTGACGCGGTTCGCTCCCTATTTCTTTATTTTCAATGTTTTTCTTTTTCTTATATGCTGTTATATTATTAGCTGTTGAATTTCCCTCCTCTTGTGCTTCAATTCTTTGGCGCTTTTGTACCTTTTTGTTTTTAGGCGATATTTTTAAAAAGTTAGACTCATCTAAATCATCAGACATGAAGTTCAATTTACCAGACTTTTTTACCGACATTATAAATATTATAGTATTTTATTTTAAAACTTAAAAGTGTTCAATGGTTATGGAGATTACGTAGCGCGGGAATACTTAAGAAAACTGATTTTTCCCGCCAATATAATTATAGACAATTACATAGATATTTTTTTTGTTGATGGTTGGAAAGGTAAAAATCACAATGCACACTTTTATTTCGTGATTGATGTACAAATGAATTATTTATCGTTTGCAAATCGTTTCTTGTAATTTTAAATTTATTTCTTAATGAAAGAGATAAAAATTCTAAGTATTTTTTAGGTTTTAGTGCTAGGTGGGCTAAAAGGACCACTTAACTAGAGAAGTAAAATTTGAGATATGGCAAATGCAAAGTTATAAATTGAATAACTAAATACAGAATTTGTGGAACAATAACAAACACGGTTTCTATAAGTGCCCTTAAATGTTCATCTTTTGGAATTAATCGTCCTGTGATTATTAGGGTGGAAGTCTAAGTGTAACTTTAAGGAAATTACATAATCTCATTTCTCCGGCCAAACTGGCCCGCTCGGGCGAATTTAAGGATTTTTTTATACACTTGTCCTGTCGCCCTGTTTCATTGGGGTTTCAGTATTGTTCTGTGAAAATATAAGTTTGTAATGGATACCCCTTTCTAGCTACTTTGTATCACACAAACTGCTTGCTTGTTTGTCATCTTCTTATATTATCGATGCAATAATTAAAGTTATACTAGGAAAGGAAAAAGTAACAAACTAATAGAAAGAAAAGTTATCATAAGTCATCAATTGCTTTATTATTCTCATAAAATCTAATTACAATCTAAACACAACTCGTTCAAAGTATCATTTTATAATTAACAGTTTCATAGTTAATGATACAAAATATAAGTTTAAATGTAAACTTTATTTACAATATTTACAGTTTATATTGACATTTTCTACCGTAGACTTGTCATATGTCTATAGGATTCTGTATAATTGCATATTCTGTGGCAAAAATAAAATAAAATCTTATAACTATTTGCTACGACTGCGAGCGGTGTTTTCTGTAGCACCGCTTGTCCGCTTGTCGCGTCAAAATGTCCGACACAAAGTTCCTATGCTTGAACACTCTCAGGATGTCCTCACGCGCCTCCTGTATGCCTTCGCAAACTATCTTGCTCCTTTGAATGTTACCCTGGAAGAATATTGCCGGTAAATACTTCTTCATTTACTGTCTAAATATTTTTAAAGGAATATTTTACATTTTTAAATAGAAAATGCTCTGACCTCTATAAATGGGCTGGCTAAAAGACGTAGTATTTTGTGCCTATTTGATTTACGACGTTTTGGCTGATGGTAGCGGTGTTATAGATTCTAACTAATAATATAGATAATAAACTGTCACGTAGCATCCACAGGCGCGTATAAATCGGACTAAAGCAAAAACTGTCTTTTTCAAGCAAGCGTCTATCCATTTATAGGGATCAGTGGAAAAATGGTACTAGCGAATATGCTGGGACCCTTGCCATTGGTATTGGGACGTATTTCTGTGTACAGCATAGAGTAGAGAAGTGTGTAGCATACCTTAAGCAGTTCGAGCAACGCGTGCTCGTGCGGCTGCAGTGCGGCGAGCGCGCGGCCCGAGGCTGTCTCGAGCGCGCGCAGCACGCCCGCCAGTTGCGAGCCCACATCCGCCTCCAGCGATACCTGCAACATGACATATTTACATTTTCTGCTCGTTTATGGTAACTTACTACTTTTGTTCTATAAAATACATCCTGGATATGCTAAATTAAGAAATCACCAAAGCAGTGTTTTCTTTGATTTATGACTATTTTTTTTCAAACATAATTACAGTATTTAACTGGATAAATGAAAGTCCAAGAGACTGAAAGTTTCTCGTCCATGGAGGTCGTCCGTCGGGACAACAACAGGACAACAGAAGGACCTGGATATGTTTCTCACATATCCAGGTCCTACTGTTTACTATATTGCCTTCAGTGATACAGATTATCGTACACTGTCTGTTTTTTTTTTTTTGGAAAGGTAAAATATGAAAATGTGTCAGATGACTAGTATGTATCAGTTACCAAGTCATCCATCTGCGCGGTGAGGTGGTGCACCTTCCAGCCGTCGGCGCTGGCGAGGACGTGTCGCTGGCTGGCGATGGCGAGGATGTCGCGAGCGCGCGGTTCGCGGCGGCGCACGTCTGCCGGCCGCACGAAGTGTAGCGCAGTGCCGCGCCACCCGCACACGTACCCCGTCCCCAGCTGGGGACCTGCACAACACAGTCGTTCACATATGCTGAATACCTCTTACTGGACTCGCTAGGCGAGTGGATGTCATCAAGCGTAGTATGGTATAATTAAAATTTCGTTAGTATGATATTTACTTACGTTTGGGAGGATTGGCGGGCGGCGGCGGTGTGGGCGGCGCGTCCTCCGCGGTCAGCTCGCACTGCCGCACCTCATTACTCAACCTGCAACATTTATAATTAACTGTCTTGTTGAGTTTGTCCACATATGACAACGTGCACTCAGTTTAAATCTTGTCTCCGAAAACTGCGAAACGTACATAGATTTGAACTTAACAACTTGTATTTAATTTCGCTGATGACAAAATTATTGACTTACATTTGCTTCCTGGGCTTCTTGCGGGGCGAGAGATCGGGCGTATGCGGGGGTTGGGGCTGGGGCGCTGGTGGCGGCAAAGGCTCTGCATCGTCATGCGGCGGCGAGGAGGCGGCCGACATGGTGGTGGAGCCGGAGCCCGGGCCGCGCCCGCCCGCCGGGACGTCCTCCCAGCCCGGCGCGCCGCTGCCCACTGAGCCGACGCCGACACCGCTGTTAGCTTCGCGGTACACGCTCAAACCGACCGTGCCACCGCTCGACAAGAAGTTACCGACCTTTGACGGTGATCTGTAAAATTATTGTTACATTCAATGTTATCGCATCGAATATTTAAAAATACTCCTTAACTATAACAAGCAGCTTACGATTATAAATTAAAAATATTTCACGCCACTAACAAAGCAATCATGTTTTTAAGTGGATATAATTTGGTACCCATCAATGTCTCGCTTCCTGAGAATGGAAGGTCTAGGCAGGATGTTGGATGCGGCGAGCGAGGTGGCCAGCTGTCGCGCCTCGTTAACACTCTGACCGCTGTTCACAACGCTCACTGTAAACAAAATTATACATATAAATTATAGACGTAGACATTTTAATTCTAGGTGGAAAGTATTTCTACTATGAAAAATTCAAAACAAAATCCTCTTGTATTATGCAAGAGGATTTTGTTTTAGTTGTTTTGAATTGAATTGGTTTTCATATCAGTTGTACAAACCTTGTACTGCTGCCTGGTTGTGGTTGTACGGAGTGAGCGGGCGCGGCAGCTGCTGCACCTGGTGGAGCAGCTGCGGCGTGTGGTGCTGTTGCTGCTGGTGCGAGACGTGCTGCTGGCTGCCGAGAGGCACCTCGTAGTACAGCTGCGAGGGCGCGCTGTTACCCACCACACCGCGCACGCCTACATTCGCCACGCTTACAACCTAATAAAATAAAATAATTATCACCTTATGACAAGTGCCATAATGTCAAAACTTATTGGCGTAAGTGAGCCAAAACAATCCATGCCCACTTCCTACTGTACTGGAATAATGTAAAACACGCATAAGTTAAAGAAATCGTAACTAGTAATATACAACATTTGTTTATCTATTAAAAATCCATATTTTTTGTGCTCTATGAATGCATAAGCGTTATGATAGAAAAAAACAGTGGTTAACCTTAGCAGGCTGGTAGTTTCTTTGCAGCAGCGGCAGAGGACGCGGCGCTCCCGCATTCGTCGTAGGCGTGGACGCTCGAGGAGTCGTTCCACGCACCGCGTTCGATATCACACTCGCTATTGGGCAAATTAACTTATTTATCATTGTATTGACGCATTGAATATT